GGGGGAGGTGGGGGGCTGACTCGGGGAGCACCCAACTGCTTGTGAAATCCACGCCTGCGAGGCTGCCGGTTCAGTGGGGACCCCATCCTCCTGATTCGTACGCAGACGAGTTAATTGAAATTAGCTTATTATGATAGAGATAATGAGCTCCCGAAGAAGAAAAAATAAAGGCCCGGCAGTACCAGCTTTGTTTTAAAGTTTAGTGCCTGTGTAGCATATCCACGCTGATCTATCGCCTGCTGTGGCGGCCCCTCCTCCCTCCGCCCCCCTCTCAGAGATAAACCCACTGAGATTGGCAAACATATTTCTCGGGCCTGAATGCTGAAAGTTGATATGATTTGTACGTTGTCACATGGACCTAAACGAGATAACTGAAATATTGGACAGGCATTGCTGATGATGCAGCCATTCTGAGCTACCACTGGGTGTGCTTTTTTGAATCATTCACGGCTAGACTTTTACATTATGTGCTCAGAAGAGAGCTCAATCATCGAGCAAGGCTTTAATCTATCAATTCTAAAGATTTTCTTTAGGGTTTGGTCAATGTGGATAGATTTCCCCCACCTTTCCCCTCCTTTGACCCATCATTTGAGTTAGAATCAAGAGGTATAGACCCTTTGGTGACTGTTGTCAAGGCAGCTGCATGAGTACTGCCACGGCCATCTGACTGCAATCAAAAGTGAGGGCCTGAATGCCTACTTGTGACAAATTTACCTCTCCACATTTGCAGCCTTCCCARCGGCAGCGGTTCTGATAAACATGATAAGTTGGCCAATTTATATTCTGTTTTAACTTCACACAGAACTGTTTGCAAAGGGTGGAGACACAATGAATAATTTATTTAAAGAGCCTTTTTTTTTTTTTGGAAACACATTTCTCCATTACCGTAGAGACGCTTAGTTATCTCAATGCTCCTCTTTGTAGCCTGATTGGAGCAGGAATTTCAGCTTTAAACTATAGTGTTTAAAAATGCAAGGCGAACGAGGAAAAGAAAAAAATCTAGGACAATGACTGAAACCACAGCCGTCTCGGAGACGAAGAAGTGTCTTTTAAGTAGTCGTCCGTGTGCTTAAATGAACCGAGGTTAATTCAAACGAGTGTGCCTTATCTGGAGATCCTTAACACCGACCGCATTAAATTCTCCAGCCGCTGACAAAACGACGGATTAAAATGGAAGTTTGGCTGAGGAGAGCTTTTGTATTCAGTGACTTATGACGTGAGGCGCTGGAATGGGGAGAGCCATCTTTCTTTCTTTACTCCATAAAAGTGTGCTGAGCTGGAAAATTAGAAATCACTTATGAGTATTTGTTGCTACCGTGTTTATCCTTAAATAACACTTGATGCAAAGTTACGAATTTGTCATGCACAGTTTTTTTAAAGCTGTATTAAATTGGAATACATCTGCATTTCTAAACTAATTCCAAGACGGCGAGAAGAGCAGCAAACGCTGCAGAAAGAGAGGAGAGAAGTTCTGTATTACAGACACGGACTTGCTGATGCACATAATGTTATACAACGTGCGGGTGAGTGGCCTTACCCCACAGATCTAATGTGGAAAGAGTAGGTGGTGGGGGGTGGGGGGTGGGGTTTCTTGAAGCAGTAATTGGTGTGGACAAGAGTGCTGGTGTACGGAAGGCTAACGGGTCCTTAAATGATTCATGGTGTCAGACTGGATATCTTTGAACGTTGAACCTAAGGCCTACAGAACAATCGAGGACACTTCCCGACTCAGAGAGCGGGAAAAGAACATGCTCTGCTTTTTTATGGGAGAACGTGAGGCCAGTCTGCTTTGTGTCACAAGTGGAAAGCTCTTGTGTTTTCATTGTGTTCAAACAGAAGAATCATTGTATTTTTGGACATCTCGTCTCCTTTTCCTCAGTGGCTGAGCCCATGGTGCCACTGTTGAGGCCCTGGTGGATGGAGATGGACATTGTGGTACTCGGGACGGTTGTCTGCGCATCTGTTGTCTTCCTCCTTTCAGCCATCATCATCTGCTACAAGGCTATCAAAAGGTTAGGCACAATTATTTATCTATTTTTCGTATATTGTTCAAATTAACATTTACGTCGTGTTTTGGGCCTTTAAAAACAGTCAAATGCAAAGTATTAAATTCTATTTAGACTTGTGAGTCTTTGCTTTAAGTACAATTTGATATTTTAAAAGTAACCCAATTGCTTTGATCCCCCCAAAACCCTTAACACTTGATTAGAAAAACTGCTGGGAACAGGATGTTTGGCAACTTGGTAACCACTACAACTATTGGTTAGACAAATTTAACGTCCCCTCCATTCCTATTAGGTGCCTTTTTATTATTTACACATGTAGACAATGAAACTGAAACACCTGTCATTTTAGTGTGGGAGGTTTCATGGTTAAACTGGACCAGGCTGGTGGCCAGTCTTCATTAATTGCACATTGCACCAATAAGAGCAGAGTGTGAAGGGTCAATTAGCAAGTTAAGAGCACAGTTTTGCTCTAAATATTGCAATGCACACAACATTATGGGTTACATACCAGAGTTCA